AAGATCTTGCCTAATGACCAAATCGCTCCTGGTACCAACAATAGCTTGACCTATGGAGAGATTTCCAACGTGATCTAGGACGAGTGTGACTAATGGAACTACTTCGACGGTTGGAACCCGACTGTTAGGTTCTCTAGTCCGTTGGTAAGTGCCGCTACTTGCAATCTTAGTTCTACTACCTCCGTACTGGAAGTAGACTGAACCTGCGATACTTGGGCGTTGGAATCCCAAATCCGGTCGGAAATGTCGGCCAGCTGAGAAAGAGGCGCCTCGATTGCATATGGGGGGTTACGCATGTCACGTCGCAGGCAACGAAGCAACGTCTATTTAAGGAAAGAGTCGCCAACAGAGAGTGGCTTAGCTAGAGCCTGCACCTTATGCAGCAAATGAGAAGGTTTTCCATCACCTAGCTAACTTTCGTTAAGAAGCTACGTATTGCGAGCATGGTGTGATATGTCGAATCGCTTTAAGACTGCGGTCTTAAGCTCATCGTATTTCTTTTGTTATTCGGGACGCTGCAAGATGTCCTCGAGGTCATAAACGACTTGCGGAGGAAGCGCTGCGACAACACAGTGAAATTTGACACTGTCAGACCTAATGCCATGTAACGAACAAATGGATTCAAACTGCTTAAACCAGCTCTTAGGATTACTCTCGGAAGGGCCGGATAGGGAAACGGAACCCACTAACCTCATCGACCGAATCTCGGTGAATGACCTTCATGGTGAAAAGATATACGGAGCTAGTGAAAGTGAAGCCAAATAGTAAAAAGTAAAATTAGACGGTTAGACAGAATAAGTTACCGGATCTTAAAGTAATATTAGTATCAAATTCGCCAAAAACAGGTTCTTCAAGGCCACTAATTATGGCGCGATGATCGTGCGCTTTATATCCGGTACGAGAGTAGACGCCCAACCAAAGGCAATGGGTAGAACACACCAAACTTAAGCTAGGGAAAATGTTTACTGAACAAAGAAGATCTAGCTTATGCTAAAAATTGGGCACCAGGAGAGACCTAGCTAGGGAGGATGTAGTTGGGCGTCGAGTGGGTGGACGGAGCGTCGTTCGCAGTCGAGTCGCGCGCGCCAAAGGCGGATATCGTGTTTGTGTTTCAAACAAATGGGAAAAGAAACAAAAGGCGGTTGGGCGAACAAGCTTGTTTTCGGTGGTTTTCATCAGGTCCATGCACCACAGAAAATAGGAATAAAGCGACGTTCCAACAATCAAATCGTCTAATTCCTTAATACATGAGAAAGCTAAAAGATTCAAATATTTTAGGATACTTTACACAGGCATACGTGGGCATCTGCAGGTCACTACAAGGTGGTTCGGTTGCTTCCTGGTGATATAGCTGATTGTTCTGGACGCGTTCAGATTGGATTCATACCTAAATTGTTTCAACGTCAAGTACCATGAACGCAGCTCCACAACTAAACGAGAATGAGCTGCGAAATCATTTGCCCTGATGTTAGGGTCATCAGTTAGAGCAATAATGTGAATACTAGCAATCTTGTGGGCCGTCCGAATCATCTGCGCAAAATATTCATCGCTTCTTCAAAACCTTCACCAGGGTCGAGTTTTAAGCAACTTTCGATAGCTTCTCGGGCTTCACCACAACAGTGCTGTATCAGATATGAAAACCTGATAATTGGATCAGAAGTAGTTCTGGAAACATTGGCTTCGAAGCATCGCAAAAATATCCTAAATCGAGCAGGATCTCCATCGAATGTGATCAGTTCGCATTTTGGAAGACAGAATGCCATGCTAGGTTCAAAACCGCTGGATTTGCTTTCTGGACACGGGTAACTGTCAACAAAAGGCTGGAACAAAAGCACCTCGATTAGGATCGAACCCGAGCACCAGCAGATGCGGACGGACATACCAATTGAGCCAAGGACGGGACGCACGGACCCCTATTAACCGGCTTCAAAAAAGACGAGCAGATGGCAACTTCGGGAACGCGTTCACAATCTTCGGCCGTTACAAATCGCGATCGTGCACTAATCCGTGCATCCGACTCAAATGTAGGTTCGCAGTAGTCCTTAACATCAACCATCTCCGCCTGCAGCATGCGCATGCTCGTTAAAGCCGACTTCAGCAGACGAATACGGGATTCAGCTCTTTGAAGCTTCTCAGCGTCAGTAGCGCTAACATCAGCAAGAGACTCACCAGAAACGGACATGATTGCCCTATACAACTTATTTACCAACGATAGGAAGCTTAGACTAAGTACGTTGTACGAAAACTAAACTAGAAACTAAGAACAAATTAACCCAGACTTAACACACGGTCTGGGTAGAAGAATAAAATGAATTATCCTGTAACTGTGGTTCTATAAGGCATATTAAATACGGCGCATGACTTATGAATAGGTTTTGCAATCGTAGTGCAAGGGGGCGAAAATTGTACAGCGTGCGGCGGCATGCGAGTATGTGGACAGTGTCACAGTATCACAATAATATGAATGATCTTGAAACGTCAGGGATATGTAAGTGATCAAGAGTGAAAGGAATAAATATAAGATATGGTAACCGATTGTGGGATACAGAGTAAAGCAATGTAAAGTGAGCAGAGTATTTAGGGAAGAAAGACGCCGTGTCCTCATGTAAACAATCCAGGTTGTGGATACATCAAAGTTTCTTTTGGAATTTATAGTTCTTATCCCAATTTTTTATACTGTATTCTGTAAATAACGTTCCGGCGTTCGTGTTCTCTCGTTTTTCCTTTTGGTCTAGAGAGGGTTTCTTTCAAATTGTTGATGGGTATGTGAACCCATAAAAGCTGGTGAGGTTTGAGGAGTCTAGCAGTCAGTTCCGATACGTTCTTGATCCATCGCAAAGCGATCCGTTTCGTTGTTGTTGGTTCAGGCGTGGTATTTGAATTCTTGTAGTTTATGTATCTTCGGATGAAACTGCGTGGATAACCGTTTCGCATGAAGGATGTCAACACATGGTATTCGCGTTTTGCATCTGCAGTATCACGAAACTAGAGCACACGGAAGCCGGAACGTTATTTACAGGATACGGTGCGAAAGTGTTATAAGAACTATGTGGGCTAAACGGGCAGAAAATTGTCTACATGACTACGAGAACACAAACTATCCTGTGGAAACCATTATCCATCATCATTGTTCTCGACACACGTTGATGAGGAAGGGCACATGTTTGATTGGGAGAAAACGGAGACCATAGGTGAACAAGTTTTTTCGATGATTCTCTTCAGACCATTACCATCATATTTAAGGGTAAAATAAGAAAGTGCAAGCAAACCATTGGCTCAAAGTGCATAATTAACGGTTCAGTGAGGGCGGCTAAAAGTTGACTTTTGACCTGACAGGTCGATTGCATGGTACCGAGCTTGGTCTGTGGCAATCGACCTCAGCATCGTTCGTTCTAGTTGGCCAAGGAAGCTGTAAGGCATAGATCAACTTCTTTACGTGGGTCATTAGGCTCATGAGTCGAAAAGAGGCGGCGCCCGAACTGCGAACTAGCAATGGTCACGGGAAGTGAATCGAAGTGGCCAAGCTCAAATGTCACTCGCTCGTCAGTGAGTCAAGAAACCACTCAGCCTGCTTATTACCCACTGAAGAATTCACCTCGATTGTTGAGGAAGCGTTTGCAACGAAATCGTTCAGCTCAGGGAACAGAACAAAATCTGGACTTCGTGAAGGTTTAGAGGTTGAGCTATTTATCTTTGCAGTCGATCCCAAGATTTGGATGATCTTCAAACTAGCAGACAAACATATAGCACTGTAAGCTGACCTCAACCAGGCTTATGAGTGGTCGACCTAGTATCTGCCTGAATGTAACCCTGCGTAGTATAAAATGATGAGCGTACCCCAATAATTTCGCCATCATAGGCGACTGGAATTACACGTCCTGCAGTGCGCTTCGCATGAAAGTGATCTCGGGGTGCTCATGCACCATGAGCTCGGATGCTCCAACCGGGATTACATGGTAGTACAGAAAACCAACCAACACTTAGGCCAACTGCGGAGCACGTTTGGCCGATTTGATCTTACTTTTTTTTCGCAAATGTTCAACGTTTACGTGCGACCACACGTTGAATACGCCATGAAGGTGGGGCGCACCTGCTAAAAATATGACCACACTGCTTTTGCCAATCCACAATGGCGGGCAAAGAAATATGGAGGGATTAATCCATCTCCCTTATCAGTTGAGACTAAAGACTGAGTCTTCGTGAACAATATCGTCTTCTGCGAGATGATCTCATATTTGTGTATCAGAGCTTCCTGCATTCCATCCACACATGCCGACCCTTATTAAACTCAGACACCGCCACACCTCACTGAGAGGCCAGCATTTGAAGTTGTCGACACAGTGGATCCGCTAGTAATGCAGCAGGAACTTTTTCTCACTTGGTGTATTCCAGCCGTGGAACTTACTTCCACATTTTGTCATATCTACTCTCACGTTGTCCGAGTTCAAAACTTAACTTGGTGATGATTTAGCCCAAGTTACGGGGATACGCTACAACCTAACCAAACAATGTGTACACTTGAACTTTGCAGTAAGTCCACCGCTACGCCTTTTATTCTTTCCACACATCTAACTTTGATCTTAAGCTTTACCTACGGAAAACTGTTAAGCCTTGGGTATATATACGTGCTAAATATGTTGTTCCATTGTTTTCATAGTTCTGGACTGGTTTTGAATGGTTTATGTACGAAATGTGAACGGATTTCTTTCAGAATCTTGTTCTTTGTGCTCGAGTTCATCGACAGTACCATCTGCAACGGACACCCTAATTGTGGTCATGCGGTTCAGACGCGTATGAAATACCAACAACTAATTGTTTCATATTTTCGTAAACGTTCGATTTGTGGATTAACAAATTGTCTTAAATGCAACCAAAATAAAGCGCGAAAAAGCGATGCATTTTGCTTACTCTCTGAAATAATCAACGCAAAATGCTGAGGCAACGTTTTCCACCGACACACCAAACGAGTCAGATCAGTCCGTTTTATTTTTTATTGACAGGTCTGTGCGGATTGGCAGCAGGAGTTAAGCTCTATGATGAAATTGGAGAAACTGGATTGTCGCTTTTTCATCCTTATAATCTGAACTGGCATCCTGGTGATTGGTACCGTGATACAGTGCCCGATACAGCATCCAGCGATGTTTACTTACGTCGAAATGCGGTGGGTTCGGTTCCATTTTTATACGGTATCTTAGAAGTGAGAGTTGATGAAACGATAACCCAAAGATCCGTTTTTTATTATGTGAAATTTTCTTCTTCTTGACATTCGCCAATGCTAATCAGACACCTCCAATCCATCCGACTCACCGGTAGATTGATACCAACTCAGTAATAAGGCTATCTATTTATCTTAATACAGTATGAACAAATCTACATAGTGTTTCCACAACAAAACCAGTAGCACCTCGTTAACTTGCCCCCCAGCCCAACCTTGTGCGCATCGACTGATTCATTCACCATACATGACCAGGAGCGCAGCGGTATGGTGACACCTCAACGATTGGTTCGTCTGCGATATGCTGCCAAATTGGCAAACCCCCCACCCCCAACTGAACGAACTTCTCTGGCATGTCTGTGTAATGCTCATTTGACAAAGCTCTGGACATGGGAACGCCTCCCTGAACTAAGTTTGAGGGAAAGGTGCATTCCCTGTCTATGAGTACACAGCAATGAAGGCAATAAAGTTACCGTTAAAAGGCGAGTATTCACGGTAATAACCGTAAATGAACATCGGGTCTTCGATTGTGCCTGAGTCCATGCTGAAGACTAGTTTCATTTATGACGTGCATTTCCTATTGGTCTGGAAAGAATTCTTACGTCAAATAGCGGTATACACTACAAAGCATATATATGTATATTAATCGCAGTATTATTTGTAAGCACGTTAAGAGTTCCAATCAGTTTGCACCGGAAAATACACGTTTTTTCGTGATCATTAGAAAACAGACTATGATTCGCGTTTGCCTTTGTTAAATTACTTAATTATTTATAATCGTGCCTTTTAGAGCTTTTACGATGACAGTTTGTTGTGTCGTACAAGATGCGGTTCTCATGACAATTTTACTCTGTTTTGGTACCACTTTTCAAAACTGCTACTGACTAGGCATTCAACACCGTACGGAGTCATAAGACACAATGAATGTGATTGACGGTGTGACTAGTTCGTGCAGTTATTTTGAAAACCTTCGGTCTAGCAAAGCAACCAAAGCTTGTTTTTTGTTGCAGGAAGATATATGAAGCGGTAAAGGATTTGTTAAGTTCACTTAAAAATTGTTCCGTCTGTTACTACATTCACTGTCTGACACAATAGATCTACGAACAAGTTGACGACAGGCAATAGTCAAGTGGATCACTGGTTCATAACTGGTAAGCTGTCAGTGTTTGAAAAGTCCCATAGAAAGAGACGTAAAGTAAGAGATTGAATCCATGTCTATAACCTAAGGCACCATGTACAGCCGTCGCAACGAGACTGGACCTTAACGTGGTGCGACGGTTTGCGTACCTCATTGACCCATTGAGCTATACTGGGTGATGCCTCCGAGCATCTTGAGAGCTACTCCTACCAGGTTGGTCAATGGTGAGAGGTCAGACAAACTCAGTCTCCTGGTTCTCCAGGTTGGGGGTTTGAAATGGGATGGCGTCCATTTCTGTAAAACTAAATCACTGCCACCCCGCTGCCTTGCGGACAGGCTTTTGAGCCAAAGGCTTTGGATGAGGACCCTAATCGTTCTCCTGTCTAGGTCTGGGCGCCCTGGCAGTTTCCCAGCCCACATACAACCATGACATTATCTTCAAACATAAACTTCATCCTGCATCGGCCGTCGCGCAGATTATCAAGGGTCGCCTTATCTGCTGCATACAGCAGGGCGGATAAGCGAAAGCATGCTACTGCTGGCGCCTCCCTTCTTTCTTTTCCACCTTTTTCTCTTACTCCCATCCCGGCCCCCATTACTAACCTTCCTTCTATAATTCCCAGCTTAATTGACAGCAACCGAAGTGCTACTGGAGTAGTACCATCTGCAGCCACCATCCCACAGCACCTATCGGACGCCTATCGGCAAAAATCCCTTATAAGACCACGCTGTCCCGTTTCCATGGCGACCTTCAACGTCCGCACTCTAAGACAAACAGGTCAGCAGGCTGCACTCGCACGCACCTTGGACACACTGGGTGTTGATGTGTGTTGTGTGTCCGAAACTAGGATTAATGACCCTAACGGGGTTATTGAATTGACTGCACCCGGCTTATCCTCTCGTTATTGGTTGCACGCATCCGGAGACGCCGATGCGGCACTCACCGGTCAGGCTGGTGTAGGTATCATTCTCAGCTCCAAGGCTGAGTTATCGTTGGTTGATTGGATTCCGGTGAACAGTCGTTTATGTGCAGCCCGTTTGACGACATCAGCTAAGGTGAATTCGCGAAGTAAAACAAAACGCTGTTTGTTTGTGATTTCTGCTTATGCTCCCACGGACTGCAGTTCTAATGCAGTCAAGGACACTTTCTATCACGAACTGAACACGCTGCTACGCAGTGCTACTTGTTCAGATATTATAGTACTTGCAGGGGATATGAACGCACAAGTAGGGCGTCTGAGCTCTTCAGAAGCTCAGCTGGGTGGTAAGTATGGACTTAACTCCGAACGGACTGACAACGGCGAGCGTCTGCTGCAACTGTGTGCGGAGCACCAGTTGTTTCTTACTAGCACTGCTTTTAGACACAGTGGGCGCCGAAGTGCCACTTGGCGTCCACCTGTAGCTGGTCAGCGATGGACCCAAATTGACCACATAGCCATAAGTTACAGGTGGCGCGGTTCCATTCTGGATTGCCGCTCGTACTGGAGTACCTGTGTCGACTCTGACCATGCCTTGGTGCGCTGTCGTTTCTCCATGAACTTTACCGGAAGGCGCACAAAGCCTCTCCCCCGATTGGCAACGGAGAAATTGTCCCAGCCCTCTGTCAGGCAAGCCTATCAAGAAGCACTGCATAGCGAACTCTCGCTGTCTTGTCCTAATGATACTGAACATCAGTGGAATAGGATCTCGGCCACTATGCACGACGCAGGAGCATCTGCTTGTGGCACTATCAGTCGTCATCGCACCAGTCACTGGATATCCGAGAGGTCCGTGAACCTTTTGGAAGCTAGAAGGCACCTCCCGGCTGGTTCTGAACACAATGTGACCAGACGGGCTATTAGGCGTGAACTAAAGCGGAGCCTACGTGCTGACAAGGAAGCCTGGTGGACCAGTCGGGCTCAAGAAATGGAGGAGGCAGGAGCAGTAGGCAATTACCGGAAGCTCTTCCAGCTAATACGCACCACTGGTCCGAGAAAACCAGGCGTCAGTGAGACAATCAGGGACAGCGCGGGTGCGCTGATACACAATAAGCAGCGCCGTATGGCTCGTTGGGCTGAGCACTTTGAACATCAGTTCAGCTGGCCCCCTGCTCCCGGACCTCTTCCTACTCAGGTGCTGCAGGACGAGCCATGGACGGTTAGTTTAGAGCCTCCGTCGGAGGCCGAAGTCCGAAACGCAATCACAGCCCTTAATCGTTTTCGTGCCGCCGGCCCGGATTCCCTACCACCTGCACTATTTAAGGATGGTGGTGAGGTCCTCTGCAAAGCACTGACCTCCCTATTCGAACGTATCTGGAACGAAGAGAGTGTGCCGACTAATTGGAGCGAATCGATTATAGTGGCAATATACAAGAAGGGCAGTCGCACAGACTGTGCGAACCACAGGGGTATTAGCCTAACGCCAGTTGTGACAAAATTACTGTCCTCGATTATCGTTCGTCGCCTCACTGCAGAACGGGAATCTCGGATTAGAGAAGAGCAGGCCGGTTTTCGCCCAGGACGTGGCTGTATAGACCATATATTTACTTTGCGGCAGGTGCTAGAGCAGCGCCACGCATACCGCAGACCGACAATAGCTGTGTTCCTCGATTTCAAGAGTGCGTTCGATTCAGTCGATCGATCGATTCTGTTCGAAATACTTGCGCGGAAAGTGTTCCCACGAAATATGTGAACATCCTTCGTGCTCTATACTCGAACACTAGAGGCCGCGTCAGGGTCTATGGTGCCCTATCGGATAGCTTTTCGACTACAAGTGGCGTTCGACAGGGTTGCCCGATTTCCCCATTTTTGTTCAATTTCGTCGTGGATTCTATCATGGAGTGTTCCCTTGCGGAATCTCACGATGTAGGTGTTGAAGTGCTGCCTGGTGAAAGGTTAGTTGATCTAGATTATGCGGACGATATCGTCTTGCTTTTCGACAATGTTGAGGCGGCACAATCAACCCTGAATAGCCTATCCAGAGTGGTTCCATTATTTGGTATGCACTTCGCACCTTCGAAGTGCAAAGTGTTGCTGCAGGACCACCAGCCACTTGATGACCCCTTGACGCTTGCTAACGAGGAACTCGATGTGGTTGATCAATTCACTTATCTTGGCAGCTGTATCAGCAATGATGGGCGCATAGAAACTGACGTGAGCTCACGCATTGCAAAGGCCAGAGCTGCCTTCTTGAACCTGCGTCATCTTTGGCGACAGAAGGGAGTTTCCCTCCGTCTGAAAGGCCGTGTATACAAGGCCACAGTGAGGGCCGTTCTGCTGTATGGTAGTGAAACTTGGCCCCTTCGGTCTGAAGATCTGAGGCGCCTTCAAGTCTTTGATCATCGTTGTTTGCGAAGCATTGCAGGCGTGGGATGGCACCAGCGTGTCCGCAACGATGATGTGCGTAGGCGAGTACTAGGGGGTGATGATCATGCTAGCTCCCTAGAACAACAGATAGCACTGAATAAGTTACGTTGGCTCGGGCTTGTGCTACGCATGCCTGGTCACCGCTTACCTAGGAGGGCCTTGTTCAGTCTACCAGGTGTCGGATGGCACAAGGCTCGAGGTGGACAGAAGTTGACTTGGCAGCGGGAAATGAAGTCACTGACGACCAAACTGGGTGCCGTTGGTCCGTCTCGCCTTCCGGGTTGGAGTCCACGTGACACACCTTGTGCTTGGCTCGAGACTTTACAGGACATGGCTCGCAACCGACACCAGTGGCACCTTTGCTGCCGTCTCCTAATTGGATTGTCTGTTTAAAGTGTGTTTGGTGCTGAGTTATCTGCGGGGTAATGGCTGATTATGACGCGTGGCAGTGAAAGCCGCAAGGA